AGCCTGGGTAACAAGAGCGAAACTCCGTCTCAAAAAAAAAAAAAGAACGGAGAAAGAAGTGGGGGCAGGGAAGGATAGCCAGCAGGCCAGTGATGTAAATGCCAGGCAGACCCCTGCCCCTCAGAGACACCCCTGCCAGGGCTTGAAATGCTGCCACTGGTGACTCAAACTTTTGTCTTCAAAACTGCAAGGGAGTAAAAAACTCATACTAGGGGGAACCATAACTTTTACCAGCAGACCCCTTAGAGTCTGGGAGACATGGTGAGACTGCAAGATAAGTGTCTGACAGACGGTGAGTGGGAAGGTGAGCTGTGGCCCTGAGAAAGGCAGAGAACCTGGCTGAGGTGTCACTCAGCAATCCCTGCTGGGGCCCAAAGAGCATTCTCCCTCCCAACTTCTGAGGAGAGGGCAGAGAGCCCAGAGCCCGCTGTGGGATGCGGATGGGCATGACCTCTGACATCTCCTGGGTCCTTCTTGCCCTGCCTCCTAGTTCAACGTGCCCTTTGATGTTGGAATCAAGCTGTCAGGGGTTCAGTACCAGCAGCACAGCCAGGCCTTGGGGAAGTTTCTTCAGGACATCCTCTGGGAAGAGGCCAAAGGTGAGTACTTCCTGGGCTGGGGTTTTCTCAGTTTCCTTGCAGCCCAACATGGGAGTTCACTCTGTTGGTGACGAGAATTTTCCCCAACCTCTGCCTCTCAAAAAGAACTTCTAATTTATCTTTCTCAAAGACCTGCAGGAGAATGGTTGGGCTAGTATTTGTGAGTGACTCAGAAGGGAGCTCATCATAGTCTTTGGGTTCAAAGAATGTTCTAAGAACTAATACATTAACTAGCTTTGGGGCCTCAGTTGAATCTCAGCTTCCTTAACCGTAAAGTGGAGCTATTTTATCTATTCTGAGAGTCTACAATTACTTGGTGTTATACCATTTTCATTGCGTGACTTTACTCCACTACCAAAACGAATTAGTGCCAAAATAGCACTTGGAATAGGCTCTACAGCCTGTTAAGCAGTTCCTTCCTGAGTTAAACAAAGGGTTTGCTTTGAATCCCCCCATCTTTAAAAAAAAAAAAAAAAAAAAAAAAAAAAAAAGCCCAACCTATTGAGATGGCAGAAATGCTTGCACATCTGCAAAGCACCGTCCTCACCAAGGCAGTGACCCCTCGCCCCTGGGAACAGCAGGGGTAGCATTCACCCTGCTGTGTGGACAAGGAAACCAAGACTCAGAGCTTTGAGGTCACTTGTCCAGGACACAACAGTCCATACTTGACTGCTGCCCCCAACTTCAAGGCCAGTGCTTCCCCACAACACCCCCATCACAACATCCCACCTCCAATGTCACCACCATGGAAAGAAAGCCCTCTGTGATGGCACTGGCAGGACGTGCACCCAGAATCCTGACTCAACCTCTTGCTTTCCAGAGGCCCCAGCTGACAAGTGATCACCCACAAGCCTCACTCACCTCTCTCTTCCTCCCAAACATAGAGGCGCTCATCTGGCTTTTCGCTCACTTCGGCAGCAACTCCCACAACTGTTGTATGAGCTCAGCAGGTGAATAAATGTTCAAACTGCATGCTGATGTTCCAAATGGGAATTTATTTCAAAGAGGAAAAGTTAACATTTTACTTAAAAAAAAAATCAAAATTTCAATTTAAAAAATTCTTAGTCAATGGTTGGTAGGAAAGGATAAAAGGACAAGAAGCGAGGCTAGTGTGCGTGCTTAGAAAACCCAATTACAAGAACTCACTCAAGCAGAAAAGCTACTGCATGCATCCATTGTGTGGAATTAATACTGGGTTTTTGTTTTTGTTTGTTTATGTGACAGAGTCTTGCTCTGTCTCCCAGGATGGAGTGCAGTGGTGTGATCTTGGCTCACTGCAACCTCCACCTCCCAGATTGAAGCAATTCTCCTGCTTCAGCCTCCTGAGCAGCTGAGACTAAAAGCTCGCACTGCCACACCAGCTTTTTTTTTTTTTTTTTTTTTTGTATTTTTAGTAAAGACAGTGTTTCACCATATTGGCCAGGGTGGTCTCAAACTCCTAACCTCCTGATCCACCCACCTTGGCCTCCCAAAGTGCTGGGATTACAGGTGTGAGCCACCGTGCCCAGCTAAGACTGGGTTTCTTAGAGGAGGAGGAGAGAAAAGAGGAGCAGGAGGAAAAGGGGAAGAGAAGGGAAAAGGGAGGAGAAGGAGGGAGAGAGGAGGAGGAGAGAGGGGGAAGAAAAGGAGGGAGGGGGAAGAGAAGGAGGGAGGGGAAAGAAGAGGAGAGAAAGGGGAAGAGAAGAGGAGGAGGGAGAGGAGAGAGAAGGGGGGACTAAGGGAAAAGGGGAAGAGAGGGAGAACAAAGACACGGTTCCTTTAAACATCAGGGCTTCCTGAGTGCAAGGCTGCATTGACAGCTTATTAACAACCAGCCAGGGCTATGTGGACAAAGAAACTTCAGGATGACATTATCGGAGCCAAAGTCCATTCAAGGTCGGAGAGGAATGCCAAGGAGTGAATTTGAAGTTAGACATAAGTGAGGTGCCCAACCACGACTCTTGGGCACTGCTAGACAATGTTGAAACAGTTGCATTCTCCTTCCTCCCCCTCCACTACTGAGAAGGCCTGGCAAAGCAGATGACTCACGTGTGCAAGGCTGGCTATCGCCATGGTTCCTTCACTGATACCAGGTGGGATCCTCAAACAGTCCCTCAACTCCAACCTACAGCAGAGATGAGCCTTGACTCTTATGTTCCACAACTTAATTCCAGTTACCACATCAGTCTTCCCAGGGGAAGGCCACTCGGTCATGCCCACCTTAGCCTAAAAGTGTGGACTGACTTGAGTGCGGGCGATGGGACACATCGCTAAGGGGAGGGAAAGGCAAAGTACAAGGTGGCCTCAAAGAGCAGCACTGCCCACTTGCCAAGTCAGCCATGTGAGAGCTTGTGGGGAACATGCAGTAGCCTTTCTGCAGAGACAGTTGGGTAATGTCCACACTCTGGAAAACGCCTACCACAGAGGGTGCGAGGAGCCAAGTAGCTCCTAAAGTAAAATTCTGGCCACCCTGCACTCAGGCACTAACCACTGATCAGGTGCCACAGTCACAGAAAAACTCAACTGCTCTTCCTCACAGAGGAGCTGTGGTCTGTGAAGACCACCTTCATCCCAGAACTTCTTAGAAATGCAGAATCTTGGACTGCACCCCAGCCCTAATCTATCAGGATCTGCATTTTTACAATATTTCCAGGCTACTTAGTAAATGACTGATAGGAAGTGGCTTAGAAGCCCTTTCTCAGGTGTCACAGCAGACTGCAGGCCCCCCACTCACCCCCCACCCCCAGAGAGCCATGCCCCTACCTCCCCAGGTACCTGGCACAAGTGGGTACAGAGATCAACACACTTGTCCAGCTCCGTCACTTAGTTGGGATATAACCTCGATTATCACTAACTACCCACAGCCCTCTTATCAACAGCTAGAGCAGAGGAGCAAAGGCCCAATATGGCCAAAGTGGTCAGGAGTTGGTTTCTTTTTGAGAAAGCACCCACCACTGCTTGGGCTTGGAGGAAGACAGGTACTGGGCGCTGGACAAATGCTGGTCACCTGATGCTTCCCCCACCAAAGACAAGAACTTACTTCTCTCTCAAAGGACTCACAAGCATTATTACCCACTTGCCTGGGTCAGTCGAAGAGAAACAGATAGGCACACCCACTGTGGACTAGGCACTCTCACCTGTGCCAGGCAACAAGGCGTAGTGCAAAGATCTGGACTTTGGTCTCAGACCTGAATTTGGATACCAGCTGTATGATGCAGAACTTCTCAGGCTGCTCACATGTAAAATGCCTACCTTGCTGGGTTACTGCCAAGACTGAACATGAGATCTCACATGAGCCATGCCTGGCACAGGGCCCAGCATGTAGCTAAGCATTCAATTACGACAGCAGCCAGCACTTACTGCCACACCCATGCTTTGTACCGGGCACCACGTTAAATGCTCATGCAGATTAACATAATTTCACTTCATTTTCACAGCAAGCCTACTTATGAGGGAGAAAACTAAAGCTCAGAGAAATTAAGTAACTCTCCCAAAGTCACACAGCAAGCACATGACCGACTCAAGGCCAGCGCCACAGGGCTCAAGTGCAGCTTTTTCAACCTGCTCCACAGCCTCTCAGCCAGTGCAGCCACTCTTGCTCTATGGCCTAGGATGAGAGAGGTTTCCATTTTCATTCATTTTCCTTCAGAATATATTGGGTGAACTGGTAGCGGGGTGAGGACAATTTCAAGTCAACAATGGGCAAAAATATAATTTTCAAAGAAAATGGTTAGAGGACACCCTTGAGAAAATGTATTGTTTCAAACATGTTCCTGTGTCAGCTCTCTTAAACCCACTCCTTCATGCATCATTTAATGATACCACAAGCTTAAGGGTCTCAGAAGGGGGGTGTATGCACCCCTAGGGTAAGCAAGTTATTTGCTAGAGAAAAAAAATTCTCCTTGTGAAAAAACTTTTACTTTGTGTATAATTAGCATAATAGCACATCTACTTAAATTCTTATGCACTTATAGGTGTGTATTAAGAAATTCTCTTAAGACAGTGCACAGAGAAGAGTTGACACACCTCCACTAAGCTACCCACCTTAATCTGAATCCACTTTCAAACATCACTGGCATTTAGGAGGCCGAGGTTGGTAGATCACCTAAGGTTAGTAGTTCGAGGCCAGCCTGGCCAACATGGCAAAACCCCATCTCTACTTAAAAAAAAAAAAATTAGCCAGGTGTGCTGGTGGCATCCTAGTTCCAGCTACTCAGGAGTTTGAGGCATGAGAATCACTTGAACCCAGGAGGCGGAGGTTGCAGTAAGCCGGGATCGGGCCACTGCATTCCAGCCTGGGCGACAAAGCAAGACTCAGTCTCAAAAATAGCCCCAAAACAAAAAAAAACTGTCACTGGCAAACGAGCATTTATTAATACAGTGATCCAGAGAGGGACTGGCTGGTCACTAATCACCGTCTTTGACGGAGTTTGCTTCTTCAATCACTATACATTCCGGTGGCCATTTGCCCTTATTTTACAAAACTGAATGAAGCAAAATAAAGGTGCTGAAAGCAAATGATGAGTATCAGTCCCAAACTTCCTACAGAAAGAAGGAAACACCAGAAAAGCCAAGGACAGACAGTCACAAGGACCATCACTGAGTGGACAAAGTCAACTGCACATTCAACTGTAAAGGAACTGAGACAAAGTTCAGGACTAGGCCAAAAATACATAATTAATTATTGTATCTAAAAGACAAGGTGGCAACAGAGACTTCAAAGGTGTTTAACATTCTTGGAAGGAAGAGCGCCTTCCTTTCTATGCCTAGGTTTACATTTTGGCCAGTGCACTTGTACTCAAGAATGCCTTAGTACAAAATAGGAGGCTGAGTGCAAGTAATGAAACAGAATTTCCTTCAGAGTTTACCCAGAGGCATCAGGAGTTCACAGTCCAACGCCCACCATCCAACTGATTCATCAACACCCCTAGGGACTACATTTTTCTTCTTCTTACAGCCTTGCATTGGAAACAAAAAAAGAAGAAAGTTTCTACATAGATTAAAAAGAAGCAGTGCATCTGAGTTCCCAGGCAGTAAAATGAGTTAACACTCTAATGCTGCAGAACTTTAAGATTTCTTTTGGTGGGGCGGGGGGGTTGGGGAGACAGAATCTTGCTCTGTCACCCAGGCTGGAGTGCAGTCGTACCATCTTGGCTCACTGCAACCTCCGCCCGCCATGTTCAAGCAATTATCCTGCTTAAGCCTCCCACGTAGCTGGGACTACAGGCATGTGCCACCACGCATGGCTAATTTTTATATTTTTAGTAGAGATGGGGTTTCACCACGTTGGCCAGCCTGGTCTCAAACTCCTGACCTCAAGTGATCTGCCCACCTTGCCCTCCTGAAGTGCTGGGATTATAGGAGTGAGCCACCATGCCCAGCCGAACTTTAAGAATTCTTATATGCAGTTTAATTTTAGAGAGCCACATGGATACTCAGAGTCTCCGGCTATCTGGATTCTTGGGTTACAAAGCTGGCCAACAACCAGACTAGCCCATTGCATCACTCAGGTAGGTTACACAAACACAGAGAGCCTGGGTTGGCTAGAGGATCCATCACTTTATTTTCAGAAAAAGATGGCCAAAGGGGAAAAAAATACAGAGGCATACCCGCGGTACAGTGAAAACAATCAGCCATCCAAAAAACTGAATCAAACACAATGCCAACCAGCTTTCACGCCCACACAGGCCAGGTTTCACTGTGCAACAGCACATAAATGATAATCTAAATCCTAGAGAGAAAAGTAGATAGCACCTTGTGCTTTTCCTTGGCAGGTGGACGACACAGGCTCAAAGACTTCCTTGTCATCATCGCTTTTCCTCCTCTAACACAGGGCTAGCTGGTTTCAACCGTAGGCAGTATTGACTTCAGAACTTGTTGTAGAGGAGATGGTTGTGCTGCAGTTCACTTGGTGACAATAAAGCACTTTGATATATTTAGCAGTCCCCCAAATCTTCCAAGTAGGATACCAAGGTCTCCCCTGACTTCCTACATGGGCAAATCTGTAGCACAGACAACGTAACAGCACAACTAATCCATGAAGACAGACAGCGAATCAAGGCCAAGTTCCAGACCAGTTACTTGTGTACCAGGGGCAAGATGGAAATACCAGACATGAAATATTAAATCCATTCCATTTTAGCTCACAAGGCTCAAATGCACCTTCCAAAAACACCTAGAGGAATTTAGGATTCCATAAGTGATGTGTTTTACAATTTAAGCTTCCAAGAACATAGACAAGGGACTCTAGGTGACCTATCTACCTCACTGAAGAAGATCAGGGTGAAGGATCCTTTGAAACAAAGCACAATCTCCTCTCACTTAACCCTGGACCATTAGAACCTCTAGGGCCTATAACGAATATACCTTTACAAGGCACCAGCAGGCTGCAGAGCAAAGCTCAGAACTTGAGGTGACTCAGTTGTTCAAAAGGTGAAGGAGAGGCTCTCACTTCTAAAACACAGAAAGACAGGACAAAGAAAGCCAAAGACAAGGGGACACCCAGGAGAAGGAGAGGGACTGGTACATTTGTGGACACCAGGACTGCTTATTGTGGACAGACCATATAAGACGGCTAAGCTGCCCAGCAGAGCTTTCAAGAATTACTTTGATTCACCTCTCAACCTGGGCAGGGCACACAAGGGACTGTTATGCAAGATGAAATAAGGATTGTTTTTGGTCAAATGTTCCAGAGAAGGGGGCAAAAGTGAAGCAAAAGGAGGCTGGGAACCTCTGACACAAAAGACTAGCAGGTAGTTTCTGCTGCAAACTGAACCTTATCAGCTCAACACACCCATACACCAGCCCTGAAGGCATCAGTGAGTAGGAAGTACCTCCTCTGGGTTCCTCTTCCCCAAGAAGCCCTCTTCCTGGAGTCCCCCAGTCTGTCCTGGATCTCCATCATGAACAATGAGCGCTCCTCTGCACATCTCCATATCGATGGCAGTGGAACCAATGAGACCAGAGATGAAGTCCTTCTACCTGTGCCATCGCTGGAGTTGACACCAGAACAGTGACAGCCAAACTGAAGAGTTATCCAGGGAAGGAAGGAGGAGGACTTCACTGGTTGCAAGAAAATAAACCTCTGAGCTAGGTCTCCAATTAATTTCCCCCAAAAGGTTTCCCACTTGGGAGTCTGTTTTTAGAACTGAGAACCAGGAACTGAGTTACACACCCACATGTGCTTAGACGCGTAGGCAGGTAACTTTATTCACAAACTGCTCAAAAACACAGGCTGCAGAGAACAGGATTTGGACTGGCAAACTCTCTGTACCCTCCTATCACACTCTTTCTTCTTTGCTGCCTACCCTGGAGCATTTTGGCTGGGAAGCAAAACACCAATGCTATTACAGGCAGTCCCCATACCCCTCATTCCACACCCACCCCACCCCACCCACCACCCAGAAGCTGACGCCTTATAACCCACTTTGAGGAAAATATCCTGTCCTGGTTTTCTGTGTTCCAATCAGCTCTCCAAACACATCCTCAACCTGGGACACAGACTTCAAGCCAGCCTGCGTTCTGTCAGGCTGCTGGTTGCCCTGCAGGGTAGAAAAGAAAAGGAGAAAACAAATAAGGTTAATGCTCACACTATGTTTATACTCTTAACATTAACAAAATGCAGCAAAAGACTGGTTTGGTCTGGTTTTTAAAAAACATAGAATGCGAGCTTTATGACCTTTTCTGGCAGACTCCCGATGACTGTACCATCTCTGCTTAGAGACTGTAGAGGCGACTGGTGTTCTCACGCAAGGCAGCCAAGGTGCGGGAGAGTGGCTGATCTTTGACCCTGGCAATCTCTCGGACCGTATGCAAGGCCAGGCCCGGGTGGGCATACTGACAAAGGCTTTTGGGAACCTGGAAGACATCAAGCAGTCATAACATCATTGTGCTGTCTGTGCACAGTCATAATCTAGAACTCCCTCCCTGTCCCTTCCCCAGCAAGGACCTCTTTGGGGCTGCCCTGTAGAGACCCCTTTACCTGCAGGTGCAGGGAGAGTCCTAGTCAGGGGGCTCTGGGTGAGCAGGGTCCCACGCTTCCTTGGACTACCCTCTACAGGGTAGGGCTTTGCACTGCCTGGAAGAGAGTGGTTACCCTTCAGCTTCTCAGCCCCCTAGACTTTTGGTTCTGCAAAGCAACAGCAAGGAGGCATCTATACAGTCCAGAATGGGACCAGGAAGTCACTGGGGCTCTGGCCCTGACAGCCTTGTAAGGGTGACCACCTGCCTCCCCAACCTCTCCCTCCAGTGCCTCACCTACCTGGCGAGGAAGGAAGTAGGGAGCATCCGTTTCCACGATGATTCTCTCCAGGGGGATCTGCCTCAAGGCTTCCCGGGCCTCCCAGGCGGAGGAGTATGTCAGCACTGCCGTGAAGCCCACAGACATGTTGGGAAAGTACTGCAGCAGGGGCTCGATGACCGGGTAGCTACCGGTGAAGCAATGCCTGGGGACAGAACTCCACATCAGGGCTGGCTCACAGTCCCCTCTGCAGTAGCCCCCAGCTCCCCCTAGACCCATCACCCCTTTTCAATGATTCCCAGAAATGGAAAGATTGCATCCAAGGGAAGGACTCCACAGTAAGCACAAAGGGCCAGCTCCAACATAGGAAGCCCCGAGATGGCACTTGGTGAGTGATGCTCAGAGATCACCACACACCACACACACTGCAGAGGGCTCTGCAGTCACCTGAAATGACCACTACAGAGAACACACTGGGATAAGAAATGCTTCTAGGGCCGCGCACGGTGGCTCACGCCTATAATCCCAGCACTTTGTGAGGCCAAGGCGGGTGGATCACAAGGTCCTAAGTTCAAGACCAGCCTGACCAAAATGGTAAAACCCCGTCTCTACTAAAAATACAAGAATTAGCTGGGCACGGTGGCAGGCACCTGTAATCCCAGCTACTCGGAGGCTGAGGCAGGAGAATCACTTGACCCCAGGTGGCAGAGGTTGCAGTGAGCCAAGATCGTGCCACTACACTCCAGCCTGGGTGATAGAGACTCCATCTCAAAAAAATTAAAATTTTAATTTAAAAAAAAGGAAATGCTTCTAACACTAAAGAGGAGCAAAATCAAAAACTGTGGCCCCTATGATGACAACGACAACATATAAAAATTATGCCCGTGTAGTCAAATCAACTGAAAGGAAATGTAACAAAATATTGGGGAGTGGAACTACAGCTGAATTTTCTTCTCTTAATCTGATACAAGCTCATGTTCTTGGTGCCATATATATAGTCACCAATCTGGAAATCCAGGACCTCTTCCTGCAATACTACTCATTAGGTCACCTTAGCCCTGGCCTACCAGCCACCATTACATTTCCTTCCAAGTTAGCCCAAAATGAAGCAATGAAAAACCAACCGACCCAGAAAAGCCAACTGACTGCCTCATGATTGGTGTGTGTACTAGCTAGGGGTCGGAGGCTTCACTCACTCTGCTTAGGCACCCAAAAGCCCTGACATCCCCATCCCCCTTTTTCTGCCATCTGAGAAGACCCAGTTTCGGTGCCAGAGTCCTTGTTATTCAGCCAACCTCTCTCAACCATCTTTAAGGAGCCATCTGGGCATCACCTCCTGAGTCTTCTGGCTGGGCTATGATGTCAGGCCCCTGCTCTGGCTCCCGCAGCACCTATGACCACGCAGCCCTATATGCTATGTAGGCAGATGCCACCAGCCAACCTGTCTACTGACAGCACCTCCAGATGTCCCCAGAGGCAAGCCAATGCCCAGTACCTACACATAGAAGGAATTCAGAAGTCCAGAGAGTTTACCAAACTGAACTTAAGAACCCCTAGGTGCCATACTGATAAAACATGGCCTTGACTTTCATAATGCGGAGGAAAGGAGCTTTCAAATTCAAAACAGGAAAAAAAATGTCCTTTCAAGTACCCTAGGATGCCCTGTGTGCTAAGCCACCAGACCCCAGAGCAGCCTCTCCCAAGATCAGCAGTCCTCATTGCTGAGAACTGAGACTCCATTTCTGCCCATCCCCAGGAAGAGGGCACAAAAGGCCCCTTGGGCTCACTGGTGATTTGGGGTTATTAGTTGAAACCATATGAAGTTGCTGTTGTGAGCAAAAAAAAGAAAAAAGAAAAAAGGTCAAATATGAAAAATTTAATGTGGTTTAACCAAATAGTTAATTCTTTAGAAAAGATAATGTATAGGCTGGATGTGATGGCTCACACTTGTAATCCCAGCACTTTGGGAGGCCGAGGGGGTTGGATCACAAGGTCAGGAGTTCAAGACCAGCCTGGCCAACACGATGAAACCCCGTCTCTACTAAAAATACAAAAATTAGCCAGGCATCATGGCACGTGCCTGTAATCCCAGCTACTCGGGAGGCTGAGGCAGGAGAATTGCTTGAACCCAGGAGGCAGAGGTTGCAGTCAGCTAAAATCGTGCCACTACACTCCAGCCTGGGTGACAAGAGTGAGATTCTGTCTCGAAAAAAAGAAAAAGAAAAGATAGTGTATAATGACAGAATACGATCATTGTTCTCCTCATTGGCTTCTCATTTTTCCGACTGATGTCCCAGACAGAGGGAAGTTTTTCTTTCATTTGCCCGCTGAAGTTCCAGTCTTCTAACCTATGGATCTTGTAGTCAGGGGGCACAAACTTTTTCATGATGTCTAGCAGATCTTCATCAGCTTCTCGGCAATGGATCACCAAGGGCTTCTTTAGAGACACAGCCAGCTGTAGCTGTCTCTCAAATACCTAGGAGAGAACACAGCAACAACCCCTGCCAGTCAGCAGCATTTCACAAGTTCCATTACCTCTGGAACACCCAGTCCAGCAGGCACCCCAGTGTCTTCAATTCTTTTAACTATATAGTGTAATAATAATAGCTAACGATTATTGGGCACACTTCAGGTCTATCATAACCTGCAGTCCTCACAACTGCCCTGAGGCAGATGCTGCTGGCCTTGCAGCATGCAGTGAGGGCAAGTTAACTTGCAGCCACCAGAATCCAAACTTGAACCCTGGCAGTCCACACAGTAATCACTATATGATGCCGACCTGGGATGGCAGGGGCAGGGCAGGGATCAAGAACATAAAGTACAAAGTTATTATCTCTCACCTCACTCTCCCCACCTCTGCTCTCAAGAGATACCAACTTCCAGACCTCTCCCTATGCAGAGCTGTTGGGGATGGGCGGGGTGGGGGTGGTGTTTGTGTATATCTCCAGCAAGATGCCTGGCTGTTAGAAGGTGCTCAAATATTTGTTAAAAGAACAGATACTACTCTTATTTTCTACAAGTTACTTTTTGTTTTTCCTTTTTTTTTTTTTTTTT